AACCTTCGGAATACATCCCTTCCTCTCTCGCAGCATTTTTCATCCTCTACTTCTCAGTCTTCTTCACTGTCTACCCCCACCTCCTTTCTACTACACTTCATCCTTTTTGTCCTCCCTATTTTCCTCCCAAAATTAATACCTCTCTCCATACCACCCCATCTTCCTCCTGCCCATCTCCTTCTACTGCTTCCACCTCTGCGAACCTTTTGAGTACCTTTTTTGGCCAGTCAAGTGGGACCAATTCTTTGTGATTGCCCCAACAGCCCCGTACTGTGATAATACCCTTCTCTACCAACAATTTCTCCAAAAACAAGTAGGCAAAGTTTCCTTTCTCAGTTGTTCCGATTTTTCATGCCTTGTCATAATTAAATCCAAGTCCCAAGTATGTGCATTATCTTCCCTGACTGGCCTCACTGGTAAACCTATTCCTGACCAACCTCACTCCCTTAATACTTGTACTTGCACTGTTCTCTGACTGACTGTCTTGTCTTCAACAAGGACTGGTCAGACTGTGAAAACGATTGCTCACATGTCTCTGACTATGATACAATGGCAGTCCAGTGCTACACTGTTCCTCCCAGAGGCCAACGTAAGTCCTACACTACTCTTGCCGTTGACATAACCTCACCCAAGATCTCTATATTGGTGGAGTGCCCTGCCCTGTCCGACCATATCGACCTCTTCCCCGTCAGTGTCAGAAATGTCGGCGTTTTGGCCACCCAGCCAAACACTGTTGCTTCATAGCCTACTGCCCTCTGTGACCAGCCTGGTCATGACCATTCAAGTTGCACTGCTCAGTCATGTATGTGTGCCAATTGTGGTGTGTCCCATATTATATTTTATAGGAGCTACCCCTCCCCCTCCTCCTCACTCTACCTGTTGCACCAGACAATCTAAACGTTCCACTCAGACCTCCCCCCCCCCCCCCGAAACTTTCGAAGACATCCAAAAGTTCATAAAACATGACTAAAGAGGTTTGGCCATTCCTTCATCCACCCTCTAATTCATTTATTTTAAAGTATCTGCCGATATCCATCCTCCTCCTCCTCCTCCTCAAGTTCCCCAACCCCTCTTCATCCCACTCGCCCAAAAAACAGCCCATCCTCTCCTTTTCCATGTGCATCACCATTCCCTCTTCCTACCCCATTATCCTTACCGCTTCTTAGATGGCCATGTTACTCCCTTATGTCACAACAATGTCCTTCTGCGGATCCTTCCTCTCTTGACATTCTTCCCAATGCTTCACCACCTTTCCCTGTTCCCATATTTCATTCTCAGGATTATTCTCCTATTTTTACAACTATCGTTTCTTACTGTATTACCCTCTGATTGTTTCATAATAACTCTGTATTGTTCTTATTATTGTTACTCTCCCTTCCTCAGACACATACTTTCCATTTGATCTGATCGTCCTTTAACCACATCCCCAAATCCCCACTGTTTTCCATTTACTCCCCCTCTATAAAAGTGTTAACATCTAACACATCTTATTCTGATCGTTAACTTTTTTCACCCTTTTCGCCACAAAACTTTACCACATGACCTTTGATATCTGGCACATTTATTTCCTCAAACCATTAACCATAACCTCCCCCTTTTCGTTTCCCTCTCTTCTCCAATCGCTTCTACTATCCCTTTCCTAAGGTCTGAGAGCCGTGTTGAAAGGATGGAAGGCTGGCTTTGTGCCAGTCATGAATGGCCTGGGGGAGCTATGGGCAAACTATTCCTCTGTTTAGTTGTCTAGCTATTAACTCCGAAGGGGACCCTGAGGAATAGACTATTTCTCTTTCCAACATGCTGTAGACTTACCATGGACGAGAGCATGATTCAAATTCTCCCAGTTTCCCGACTCCAGGCTCTCCTTTGACCACGACTCAGAACACTGCTATTACTATCCCCTCCTCTACAAACATCTGAAATTCTCTGTTTATCCCAGCCAAATGGGACTGATTTTTCGTGATCCCCTACAGCTCCTTACTCTGACAACAATCTCCTCTTCCAGCAATGTCTCCAAAAACTAGTATGCAGTTTCCTTCCACAGCTGCCCTGATCGTTCCCGTCTCATCACAGTTACATCTGAATCCCAAGCTAAAGCGTTATCAACCCTGACAAACTTCACTGGCAAAGCCATTCCTGACCAATCTCATCCCACCCTCAATACTTTTACCTTATCCACAACAAACTGCCCAATCTACAACAAAAATTGATTATATTGCGGATACCTGCTTGCGTGCCTCTTGGACTTTGATGCAGTATCAGTACAATGGCACACCATTACCCATGGAAGTCCCCCACCAATATTGTCAAGATTACTTTTCGTAGACATGACCTCCCCTTTAATGTTTATATTGGCAGAGGATCCCTCCCTGTCTGACCATATCAACCTCCCCACGTCAATTTCAGAATTGTTAGCAGCTAGGTTTGCTCTCTCACTCTTAACTCCAATAATTGCTCTTACCCTCTCCTTCCCTCCCAAGATGTTTCTACATCGCTCCCAGCATCTCTTCCTCATCCCATTTCTACCCTCTCCCTCTCCCAGTCATATTCTTTTGCCATTCTAAATCAAGACACCTCAATCTCATTCACTATTCCAGACACTCCCTCCTCACCCAGCTCATCGCACAAGACAAGCTAAACGCTCCATCCCATCTTCTACCCCATTTTCTCCCATCAACCTCTACCCCCACCCCTCAAACCTCTGTCCCCTCTTCTCCCCACCCCCCCATAAGAAAACCTTTGTTTTTCAGACCTCCCCAACTGGCTCCACTGCAGAAACTCTCAAAGACATTCAAAACTATATAACATTCCTCAGCCTTAACCATCCTCCAATCTCCCTACTCCAATTCCTTCTACACTCAAAGTATCTGCCAACTTTTATCATCATCCTACTCGTTTTCCCCCTACACCCCTTCCTCCCACTCCATTCCAACACATCCCACCCCCCCCTGCTTCAGTCTCATCATCCCCTCCCCCCCATCCTAACCCAGTATCCCTCTGCTTCCCCCAGGATGTCGCAGCAACCCCCTTCCCTAAATACCTTCCCTCCGAACATTCTTACTAAATCTGTGATCTAATTGTCCTTACACCCCTTTCTCCTTTGCTAATCCCTACTTTACCCTACAGACATCTTTACAGAATCCCACACATCTTCCTTTGTCAACTTTGATAGAATTGCCCTTGTTAATCCCTACCTTCCTAAATTGCTCTGCGACTTCTAACTAAATGTCATCAACTGGCCCCCACTTTGCCCTTTTCACTATTACATCCTTCTACAGTGCTATGTAACCCCTGATGTCTAGCACACATATTTTGCTTTGTAAACATTAATTATTAAAACCTTTTTTTATAGATTCAGATGTAAAGATTTTTAAAACAGATTTATTTTTTCTGGAAAGAGAAATAGCTTCTACAACTAAAATCTTAGTCTATTTGGAACAAATGTACAGTACAAAGATACAGAAACACAGTTATATAATTAAAGGAAATTACCTGTGTAGCAGGCTGAAAAAGTTTAATATTAAATTACAGACATGAGATTTCTTTTAATTAATTACAAACAAAAATACATGTGTAATATTAATCATGACACACCATACAGTATGGCATTAATAATCATAATAAAACCTTAATATAACACCTGACTGTAGAGGGTAAAATAGCAATTTCAAGATTTTGAAATGAAATTTTACTTAATTTTTTTTCAGGTACAATATATTTAAGAAAAATATTTATATCTTCTTTTTAAGAAGCATAAAGTTTGGACACAAAAACATAATTCTCTATGATTCAGAGAAGAAAATGGTTCTTATTGACATATTGATAATAGCACAGATTATTTGTGTTAAACCTGTTACAAATGAATGTTAACCCAATACAATAAATAAAATTGTATTACTGTGGGCAGGTATTCTTGCCATACGTGCTGATTGGGTGAATGGCAAAAATGTGAAACAGCATTTTCCTCTACTAAAAAATCATTATTTTTATGTGATCCGGCTGGTTATTGATAGACTGAGATGAAAATGAAAATTGCTCTGGGTGTTCTTTACACAATTCTTCAAAGTCTGTTGAATTTTCTCTTCTCAGTTTTGACCTTTGTTTTTCCATTGTCTATCTTCCAAGAATTCTGAAAAAATACTAATTGTGAATCAGATGAATTACAAAGCAAATTTGTGGCTAGTAGATCAGGCAGACCATCAATAAAATTAAAGAACTATTGGGCAAAAGTTATGGTCTGGCTTTCTGTCAAACTATGAACTGATATATTCACAAATGGAAGTCTGTTCTCTTCTCTATATTACAACCATTAAATTTCGTCATATAAATAAATATGGATGAACTAAATTCATGCCTGGTGTAATAGTACCTGGGCCCTGCAATACATAATTCAACAAAGGAAAGGCAGTGCACATGTATCATAGAAATTGCCCATTATAGACTGGAGCAAAGGTGATCCAGCAATAATAACAGTATCGATAGCAATGGTATTAACCAATTGCCGCCGGGGATGGCATGTACGTACATACCATGCCCACTGTGAGTCGACTTGTTCGATTGTTTTTACACATACTGTACTGAGTACTGCCTGTCTCACCCGTTCACCCGTGTGTGTATGTGTGTGTGTGTGTGTGTGTGTGTGTGTGTGTGTGTGTGTGTGTGTGTGTGTGTGTGTGTGTGTGTGTGTGTGTGTGTGTGTGCGTGTGTGTGTGTGCGTGTGTGTGTGTGTGTTTGTGTGTGTGTGTGTATATATACATATATATATATATATTTTTTTTTTATATATTTAACATATATATATTTACTTAATATATGTATTGTATAAGTATACATATTTTTACATTATATATATATATATATATATATATATATATATATATATATATATATATATATATATATATATATATATATATATATCATTGCCCATTTTTTGCAGGAGATAGTAACATCAGCTGTAGTAATATCCTTGGCGAGTTCCTTGACAGTCCTTGGCTTCGGATTTACTCGAAGGAATTAAACAGAGGGTTTTGAATAGTAGTTCTGGCTCGCCTGAAGAGTGGATTTTCACTCTGTTGGGGATAAACATACTTTTTATTAATATATTGAAAAGAACAACGTTAAAGCTTTTGCTATTAACTATGTGTATATTATTTGCATAGATTATAACTAATCACTCATTTTAAAGTGGTTCCTCTACATTTACACAAATTATGTGTTACATTTTCCTGTTTTCAGTACTTTTCTTCTTGTTTGATTTAGCTTATTTAGTTGAACATCATTTTTAAAGTAACCATCTTGCTATGGTGATGGTAATAATGAGCTAAATGATCTTTTAGCGTTATGGAGATCGTCACGAAATTTCTAGGTTAATAGGTTAATGTTACCGAGAGTGAAATGGACACAGTCATCACAGGTTCAGCTGCTGCGGCTTCACATTTACCGCGAAATGACGCTGTATATCACCGCTCAGAGACTACACACATCACTCAGAGTAATAAAGATAAATACACACTTCTTAATGTTCCGATTTCGAGTTCTAATACAGGGGGATGCAGGGCTTGCTCCCCCTGTCCAGAAACTAAATAGAAAAATAAATAGTCAGCTTAAGTGACAATTTTCATTTGCTCCTGATAAACGAAACAAAATTTATCACTCAGATTTCCAGCAGGAGTGAAGTTTGCCTGCTATACTAAAAACAATATTTCGACCACAACTATTAATAATAATAATAATAAAATCATATGATATGACGGATATATTAAGAGATAACTTATAACATAAACATCAATAAACTTTCACACGCAGGTATTATAGAAAAAGATAAACATGCCGACTCACATTACTCCACTTCGCCCCGTCCTTACTGCGCAGGAACCTGGCGTATTCGCGGCGGTCTTGGAGAATCGCGCAGAGCTTCCAGACGATAAGAGCCAATAGACCAATGGCCAACATAGCACCGATGACTCCGAAGATCACTCCTGTCACGACATAACAAAGCCGGTGGATTTGTGAAAGAATGGATGGCCTGCTCATAAATCGGAGTGTTATGTAGTGAGTTTGAATATGTATGCAATCCTCTTCACTTGGTTTTGTGGTACATGAGTAGATGAATGGCGTAGCATATGATGGAAGGCAATAATTATACTCAAAACCGTATCTTTGAAAGTTGAGAAAATAGTTTCGAATTTATCCTGGATTTTATTTGGCAAGCTGGAAAGGAAGGCGTAGGGAATGGAATTGATAAGGGAGAAACAACACGGTACGCCGTATATCTTCAGAAGTAACCGAGACCCTGCTTGTTCTATGCAGGAAAATATTACCGCCTTGTCCGCTGACAGGAGCAACTCACGTACCTCTATATGGGTTTAGTGACGCACCTTCATATTTCCTATTTGAGTCAGGCTCGCGCTTCATTATTGGGCTCCTTTTCCATCGCTCCACGGACTTCAGCGTCCATATTCACAGGTCCTCGCAACCATGGACGCTGAATCCCTCTTCACCAATCTCACACTGGATAACGTCCTCAGCCGATCCAAAATGCTCATTTGAAGGACATTGATATTCACAGACCCTTCTCTTCTAGCTACCCTGCATAGACAGTACTTCCAGTCTGAGCTTCCTCCTTTCATCTCGTCCTTCACTCCTTACTCGGGAGTACATGAAACCGAAACGACCACTGGGATTTGATTTGGAAAGGTTGCTACTTGTTTTCAAAGCTCGAAACAGATAAAGTTTCACAATGTATTCGAATAGTGTTTTGTAGCTGATATGGCAAAGGCCTCGTATCATGCCAACACTAACAATATTGAAAGCTCATAGACCATTTATAATGTCATAACTACACTTTGCTCTGAGGAATTATCAAGATCAGGTATTTCGAAGCCAACCGTGTCTCTGTGGATCCAACGACACCAAACAACTGGATCTACCAAAAACAAGGTCAGAATTGGGCGCTCTAGATTTATAACGGAGGAAGATCAAGTACATATCATTTAAAACTATAAATCAATGTGAAAGACAAATAGAAAGCTTGCACTGAACTGATTGAATATTATGAACTAATGAAAACCATTTGATAATCCGAGGCAACACCCCCTATAGCTGGATTTAAAAAGGGGGCGTGACCATGTCACCTTACCCTGAGTCCTTTTCTTCTTCGCATTATGCTGCAGTGTGGGACTTCGGATTATGCTGAAGTATGCAGACTGTCAGAAAGCGCTAGGCTGTTTTGAGTGGATGCACAGCAACAGGGTTGGGGAGATGAATGTCGGGCCCGACAGATCTATGGGATGTGAATAGATGAAAATCCTGGACGGGATGTTTTACCATCAGTGAGGGCCATGATATTCCCCAAGCCGAGCCAATTTAGCACGTCCAGGATAACAACCCCATCCACACGATCAGTGTTTTGAAAGCGTGATTTCGACATATCCACCCAAATCGCCAAATCTCAATCCCGCTGAGAATATTTAGGCAGCCATGAGCAGACTTCCCCCAATA